TTCCACATGGCCATATCCTCTTTGTCTAAGGACTGAACATTCTCCTGCGATCAACTTGCTGGTCTTGATGGTCTGGATAGTCTTGAGTCCCCAAATCTCAGACCCCCGGAAAAGTAGGAAACCTGTGATTTCTGGCATCAAAATCATGTTTTTTTGGAGAAAAATCTACTTCATTCCTGGGACCCCTGAAAAACTGAGAACTCCATGCTGTGGGTTTCCTGCATGCGGCCCAAGTCGTGAAAAGCATCCGTGCCATACTCCAGGAAGGAATAGCCTCGCAGTGGTTAGGTTTGCAATCTGCACCCAAGAAAATTGGAGGCTCGAATTCCAAAGTTACGCGAAAGCAAAACTAGACGACGGTTGGCCCGAGAGCGAGTAGGTGTATAGGTACTCAGATGTGTGATGTAGTTGTATGATTTGCACACGCCAAAAATTTACATGGATATGTTGATGAGAATATTATTTGAGATCATGTGAATATGTTCGTTATTTGTAGATGTCAAGATAAGAAGATGTGAAGGTGTCAGGGTTGTAGTTGCAAGAGACAGACCTTGTATGCTGTATAGAAGATGTGAAAAATACAAACATACAGATATGCTGATAGGCTCTCAAACACAAACACACGGCAGAGAAACATGTTTACACATATATACACACAGACACACACACACACAAACACACACACAAACTCACACACACAGAAGATTTTACATACAGAAGCTTTTCCACACAGAAGCTTACACACAAAAGTTTTTAGACACAGAAGTTTTTACACAGAAGTTTTTACACACAGAAGCCTTTTTCACACAGATTTTTTTACACACAGACACTTATACACACAGACGCTTTTACACACAGAAGCTTTTACACACAGAAGCTTTTACACACAGAAGTTTTTACACACAAAAGCTTTTACACACAGACACTTTTACACACATACACTTTTACACACAGAAGCTTTTACACACAGACGCTTTTACACGCAGACACTTTTTTACACACACACACACAAACGTTTTTACCCACAGAACCTTTTGCACAAAGATTTTTTTACACAGACGCTTATACACACAGACGCCTTTACACACAGAAGCTTTTACACACAGACGCTTTTACACACACAGGAGCTTTTACACACAGAAGCTTTTACACACAGACACTTTTACACACAGCAAGCTTTGACACAGAGCAAGATTTCACACACAGCAAGCTTTTACACACAGAAGCTTTTACACACACAGGAGCTTTTACACACAGACGCTTTTACACACAACACTTTTTTTCACACAGACAATTTTACACACAGACACTTTCACACACAGACCCTTTTACACACAAACGCGTTTACAAACAGATGCTTTTACACACAGGAGCTTTTACACACAAACACTTTTTACACAGAAGCTTTTACACGCAGACGCTTTTACACACAGAAGCTTTTACACACAGACAGAAGCTTTTACACACAGACGCTTTTACACACAGAAGCTTTTACACACAGACACTTTTACACACAGAAGCTTTTACACAAAGGAGGTTTTACACAGACACTTTTACACACAGACACACACACACACAGAAGCTATTTTACACAGACGCTTTTACACACAGAAGCTTTTGCACGCAGAAGCTTTCACAGACAGACACTTTTACACGCAAGCTTTTACACACAGACCTTTTACACACAGAAGCTTTTTACACACAGATGCTTTTTACACACAGAACCTTTTACACACAGAAGCCTTTACACACAGAAGCTTTTACACACACAGAAGCTTTTACACACAGACGCTTTTACACGCAGACACTTTTACACGCAGAAGCTTTCACACACAGACACGTTTACACAAGCTTTTACACACAGACACTTTTACACAGAATCTTTTACACAGAGACACTTTTACACACGGACGCTTTTACACACAGACCCTTTACACACATACACTTTTTGAAGGCAGACGCGTTTACACACAGACGCTTTTACGCACAAGCACTTGGACACGCAGACCCTTTAACAGGACCAACCATACTCGCAAAAAACCTTCAGTTTTTGACATTCGAACCTCGTTTCGTGCGAAAGGGTAGCCGCGGACACTTCAAAATCGCAATTTTACCGCAGTTTTTGACACTCGAACCTCATTTCGTGCGAAACGGTGGCCATATCGTGGTGCCTCGTCGGCACCGCCCACGGCCTTAAGAGAGAAAAGAGAAAGAAGGAGAGAGACAGAGGGCAAGAGACAAAGAGAGAGAGAGAGAGAACATGTGAAGATGAGAAGATGTGAAGATGAGAAGATGTGATGAAGATGTGAACATATGAAGATGTATAGCAGACCTCCACCATTAGAAGAACCCTTCGCTCAGACGCTCTCAGGAAAAAAGAAAAATGGATGTTGGACCTGTTGGAGGGCTCAGGAAAAAAACAAAAACAAAAAACAAAACAGCCATCACCAGCCCAGCTCAAGCATGTCCGGTTTTACGTGAGCAGCTCCAAAGATATCGTGGATTGGTTCTACTCGTTCGCTCGGGATCTCAAACCGAACACCAAGGTCACCAAGGCAACTCTGAACCACATAACACTTTCAAATGGAAGATTTGGTACCAACATGTTGATGAGATGCTTTGTTTATGCATACCTTCTACTTTCGACAAGGGGCAAACTTCCAAAAAATGCTGTTTTTCAGCTGAATCTCCATCACCACCCCTGACGTGCGGTGTCTCATCGCTATCGGTTTCATCGTCGCTCTCTGGATAGCCTCGGCATCACAGAATCCACCACGGGTTTACCCAAATGATATCAAATGAGAATCTAAGGATCACCCAAGGAAGGTCATATATGGTAATGTGACTAATGTGTGGTTTTGTCCAACAATGGGGGATAACCCCAAAATGGCGGGCAACCTTTTTCTCAAACAAAACTCCTTTGACGAGCCACCATCTGCAGGCATGGCTCCAGGAAGTTATTCAGATAGGCAAAGAGTTGCTGACCTTGTCCTAGAGTCCTAGAGCCTTCATCCAAGTGCCACTGGTGAAGTCCCTGAACTAAACTGAATTACCATGTCCGATCCAAACGACATTTCCGGTGTCCACGGTGTGGTTCGAAATTCTGAACGCATCATGGGGTTTTTTAGGCCAACTTCGTGGGGGAAATGTGACTGGAATGGCTGACTGTACTGCTGTCACCTTGAAGCTGGAAACACCAGGAGGATCCAGGATGGGTGTGGCTCGAATGTGGCATCAGCCTGGGTAGATCCTGCCATGCCATGGGCATCTTTCTATATCTTCTGCTGCAGGTCCCCTTGGCTGAACTTCTTTTGCAGCACAACGCAATACGCGACATGTCGAGTCCGAGCCGGCACGCAAGGCGCACTTCTGAAACTTTGGCTCCACTGTGGGTGCCAAGCCGCGGCACAGCCAAGGCCTGACAACGGAGGCTATCTACACTCCCCGAACAGTTTGGTCCCACTTCAAACGGGCATGCAATGTTCACTCGTGGGGGCCACGATACAAAATTTTGGGCCTGGGCAGATCAGAATGAAACATGAATGAAACACATTGAAACCCAACATCAACCGAAATGTGATCCTGCGGCCACATCGCCAAACGTCTTGTTGCGCTCTGCAATGAAACAGTCGTGGCAATCCCAGAGGAACTGTTAAATCTTGGAGAGTCGAGAACTGATCTTAAAAAGTATTGCACCGAAGGATTCGGCTACGCGGCTACTCTGAAACCGCACAGAGTTTTGCAGAGATTTTGCATCACATAACTATCGAAGAAAAAAGGAGCCAAACTGTCTTTGCCGAGATTGCTGTCCAAGCGCTGTCCTTTGATGCACTATTTAAGTCCATAGTGCCTCAGAACAGTCAGACTACAATTTCTATCCGGAAATCAAAGGCCAAAGACACACGATTTTGGTGACTTTTCAAGTGCAAAATTGCTCCTCTCGAGTTTTCATGGTACATGGCATAGCTCAGCATAGCTCATAGCATTCCAAGCGCCGGCGGCCGCTAGGCCCCTGCCCAACTTTTCGCGGGCTCGGAGTGGCACCTGGAAATGGCCCTCAAAATGATGGCTTGTACTATATACCAAATTTTTTTTGCAAAAACCATCTATAAATAGATATTATGTATAATATACAGTATATATATATAACCCATGTGTTTGGTGGGGAAATGGATGATCAACCATAGGTCATAGGCGGGGGGTTACCCTATTTTCTAGACAAACACACATATGATCATATTCTCCAAATTATCCTCATGCTTCAGAGAAAGTCTGAGTGGCCATTTATTCATCAGACCCTGAGAAAAATTCAGGATTTCCCGTTGATAATGCATCTCGGTGAGGTCGGATGCCCCCCACACAACGGGAGCCCAGTCCTCACAAAGTCCGTGTTGATGTGCATTGGGAATTCCAATGTTTCAGGAGCCTCGGGATTTTTTGTGAAAACACACACAATCGATGCCAAAAACACAAGTGGCTACGGCCACAAGGGTACCAGCTTAGGCCCACAAATGTTGTCGATTTCCCGCTGAATCATGCAATTCGGGATAAAGTTTTGAGCTTTAAATGTATTTCCAGAATCTCTCAAGAATCCGCTGATCCCAGCCACTCTATGTTCAAAGATGTGCACATGTGAAAACCTCCATCCTGTTGTTCAATTCCCAACAAGTTGTCAGAAAAGACGATTTTGGAATGCTCACAAAAAGCAGTCCTGGGGGTGAAAACAGACCCCCAATTCGTGAAACATTCTAATCCCCTCAAGAACCACCAGATACCATGAGAAATCTCTTCGACAAGAGGCAGAGTCCAGAGCACAGCCAGTCCGTCCGTTGTGCATCACAACCTGACGCCAAAACTGACACCAATTCGGTCCTTCACTTCATATACCATCTATATGCCTAGGCTTCACCTCGAATGAGGAAAGTGAAAGTTCAATCAACGCCACAGTCCGTGGTCAAGTGCCAAGCCCCCGAAAGCATCGATTAAGCATCGATTAAAAGAACCCATCAGTTCACTACCTGCGATCAAGGAGCCTTTAGAGGTCGCTTTAGTATCATTCGTAGACTTCAAAAATTGGATGGCAAACAATCAGGTGGATTCCAACAAATCCAACAAATCCGGTCGGCGGTCGCAGACCGGCCTTCCAAGGATCCAAAAAAGAGCTCAGATTCGACGGAAAGGGCGCCAGGCCTTTCCAGCTTTTCAAGTCCTGCGTCAGCGCCTCCAAGCTGTTGATACTCTTTGGCCATGCAAGATCTGGAGAAATGGAAAATCTCCCCATTGCACTCATTGCACTCATTGCATTCATTGCATTCCTCTTGGAACCAACCATCTCCGCCTGATCCCTCTGTTTTTGCTGTCGCTTCGTCATGAGCTTCTGCATCAAAGGGAACATGCAAGTTGCAGAAGTTGCGGTAGTTGAAGGGCTTGACCCAATCCCTTCCGATAAGCCCATGGGATCCCAAGTCAATGGGGCCGAGTCAACCCGATCAGGGTCAGCTATTTGGCTGGGGCTGGCAGGGCTGGCAGGGCTGACAGGGCTGGCAGGGCTGGCAGGGCTGGCAGGGCTGGGGCTGCTGGCTTTTTGAGGGCGAAGCTGTAGCTCTTTCTCGCCATGGGCATACCTGCAATTGTCGCCATTCTTGCAGCTACGCTTCCGCATGAAGTCATGGCACAGACTGGTTCGTGTCAGATCTGGCTTCTGACGAATCTGTAGAGCGCTGTGGGCAAACTTGCAGTTCTCACCCCGCAAGCATTTGCCAATAGCGTAAAAGGAACACATCGCTGTGTACTCCAAATGCGAGGTATCGCATTGACTTGGAACTTCCACAGCCTTCTTTGCCACAACCTTGGAGCCTTTTTTGCTCATGGCGTGCCACTGATGTCGCTATGCCCCTTGCAAATTACTACTCTGTCTGAGCACAAAATATTAATAGCAGAGCGGCTTTGGCAGCTTCATGTCAGAATCTCAGATGCTTCCAGTGAAAACAGCGAACACACTACTGCTAAGGCACTTTTCGGCTTTTTCGCAAACCCTCTGTGAGCAAGAGTTGTGTCGCAGCAAATCTATGGAGTGCTGTGGTTTCACCACAAAGTTCAAGGAGAATCATTATCCCGATGACCAATCCATCAAATAATCGTGGGATAAATCCGTCAGTTGCGGCCAACTCTTGTCTCCACCATGCACATACCAACCTGCTCTGCACCAACTCGGGGAAGCAAACATGACGACCGTGAACTAAACTATGAAACTATGACAGCATTTTTCCCTCGATGTAGACAGACTATCCCCCAAAAGCCCACCCTTCTGTCAATGACACCCAATGGGACCCATTGTGATGGTCCAACTTCGTATCGATGTGGCATGCCAAGCGACTGAATCAGCTAGGTATCTCATTGGAAGAGCTTCAGTGTCGAAGCTCAGATTCGCATGCCTCAGAGCGAGAGTCAATGAAATCATCTAAGTCATCTAAGAACTGTTCATCGATTTCAAGTAAGAACCAACTATTGAAGCATTTTGTAAAGCCTTTGCATCTTTTGTGTTGCATTTGGCGAATGTTTGTTCTGAAAGCAACACTGCAACAAAAACCACAGAGCGACGTTACGCTGTTTGCCAAGCTGCCACAAGAAGTATGGCACTAGAAATTGGTCCTGGTCACATGGAGTTCTGTCAGAATGACTCTGACCTCCACAAAACAACACAAAAAACAAGGGATTGGGGAAAAAAACAAACCAATACGCAATACATGCAGGTTTCATTTGTTTTGCACAAGTTGTTAACCAAAGTAGCACCGATGTGTTTCCAACAGCAACAACAAAAACAGAGTCAATCCTTGAAAATTCAGTTGCCGTTTCTTTTTTCACCGTCCAAATTCTGGGAGGAATCAAATCATCATCCATCACATCCACGAACTCAAATGCGACTTCCGGGGTTTTGTGGATCCCAGTCCGCCAAGTGTCTCTCTGAATCTCATGACACTTTTCGTAGGTTCGTCCGAATGCCTGTGTGACCTCGTCAGACCTGCAGAGAAGTGAAAAGCAGCAGCAATAAGCGACAAAAGCCAGAGGAGTATGCTATGTATATTATATATATATGTCATTTTTGTGAAGGTACATGATTCCGTGCTACCCGTATGCTACCCATATACTACCAATATACTACCCCATACGGCCAACAACCTACAAACTATCTCTCTATACGACTTATTTGCCCCTGGCGTAGTAGCAATTTAATACTTATATACTCCTTATACCTTATCTACCCCCACCAAGAAAAAAACACATGTTGTCATCTATAGCCTGTTTACACTGATATGTTACCTGTGTACTACATATATCCTCCATGTATACTGACAAAAAAACTGCATATCCCTCCATCACACGCTGAGAACGTGGGACAACCAACCATCTGGTGGAGAGGAAGGTGGTGAGGGATGCTGGTATACATATATATTAAATATATATATACACATAACAAAGCCGTATGTATACGTATTTGTATACATACGTGTATACATATTATATATTTAGGGAGTTGAAATGTCTCAATATATATATATATAATTATATATAAGTATATATAAGTATATAAAAGTATACAGTATATATAAGTATATATAATTATATATAAGTATATATAAGTGTATATAAGTATATATAAGTACATATAAGTGTATATAAGTATATAAAAGTATATATAAGTATATGTAAGTGTATAAAGTATATATAAGTATATATAAGTATATACAAGTATATATAAGTGTACATAAGTATATATAAGTATATATAAGTATATCTAAGTATATCTAAGTGTATATAAGTGTATATAAGTATATAGAAGTATATATAAGTATATATGTAAGTATATATAAGTACATATAAGTATATATAAGTATATGCTGGCGGCTGGTTTACCGTACGTGCGTCTTTGTGTTTTTTTTGGCCGATGGGGTGGGGTGGGTTGGGGTGGGGTGGGTTGGGGTGGGGTGGGGTGGGCTAATAACGTTCAATGGCACTAGCACCCATACTTGATGCTACGCTAGCGACCTCGTCTCTTGCACTTGCACACATACCTGATGCTACGCTACCGACCTCGTCTCGTGCACTTGCACACATACCTGATGCTACGCTACCGACCTCGTCTCTTGCACTTGCACACATACCTGATGCTACGCTACAGATGGGTTTGTGTGGGGTGGGGTGGGGTGGGCTAAGAACGTTCAATGGCACTAGCACACATACGTGATGCTACGCTACCGGTCTCGTCTCGTGCACTTGCACACATACCTGCTACGCTACCGACCTCGTCTCGTGCACTTGCACACATACCAATGGCAATGGCGCTGGGAAAACAGTGCCTGTGCCAATCTGAGCCGTTTGACAGCCGAGACTCTTCGAGCGAACATGCAGTGAAAGTGCTGCGCCAGAAAAAAAACGAAAAGTCCGATTTTTTTGTTCTCTCCCTGTGGCGAAACGCAAATCCATCAAAAAACAAGGCATCCTGAAACAGCCTCTTTCTACTCCTGGCGTTCACAAAAGCGTGCAAATACAAGTGAAAAATGATGAATAAATAAAACACAATGGAATTAGCCACATTTTCTGACCAAACATGATGATGATTGCTTCAAAAGTCCTGCAAATACCAAGCGATAAACATGAAGGTCATCATAAAGACTCTTAAGAAAATGCCAAAACACACGCGCGGTAAACCAGGCGCCGGGAAGTATATGTAAGTATATAGAAGTATATAGAAGTATATATAAGTATATATAAGTATATAAGTGTATATAAGTATATATATAAGTATATATAAGTATATATAAGTGTATATACGTGTATATATAATTATATATAAGTGATATATAAGTATATATATAAGTACATATAAGTATATATAAGTACAAGAATATATAAGTATAGATAAGTATATATAAGTATATATAAGTATATGTAAGTGTATATAAGTATATATAAGTATATATAAGTGTGTATAAGTATATATAAGTGTATATCAGTATATATGATTATATATATATATGTATAGATAAGAGTATATAAGTATATATAAGTATATATAAGTATATATAAGTATATAGAAGTGTATATAAGTATATAAAATTATATATAAGTCTATATAAACATATAAAAGTATATATCAGTGTATATAAGTATATATAAGTATATATAAGTATATATAAGTATATATAAGTATATATAAGTATATATAAGTATATATAAGTATATATAAGTGTATAAAAGTATATATAAGTATATATAAGTATATATAAGTCTATATAAGTATATATAATTATATACATGTATATACAAGTATATATATATGTATATATAAGTATATATAAGTACATATAAGTGTATATAAATATATATAATTATATATATAATTATAGATATATATATATATAAGTGTATATAAGTATATATAATTATATATAATTATATATAATTATATAATATATATATACATGTATACACATCGCTAAGGGCTTGCCATCGCCCTAAACAAAAACCGGATTTGGGTGAGCAATCTGCGGTGAAGGTGCCAGGGGTCAACCCGGTCATCCCCAAACAATACATTAACCTGTTTTGACTGCTGGTGCACAACCCTAAAGAAATTTCGAAATCAACCATAAAGAAAATTTTCTCCCAAAACAAAAACTATACGCTCAAACAAGCCTAAATGGCAGCAAGAAAACTGAACAACCCCTCAATAAAGCCTAAACCAACCCTAAAGAACCCTAAGTATGTCCTAAAGGCACTAAACAACCGGCAAACATCCACCCCAGAGTATATACTACATGCCAAGGATATATACATATGTGTATGTAGTTGTAGAGTTACAAGGCAGCCCAAGTGTTGAATGATGGACCAACAAAATGAACTGATTGGCTCAAGGCCTTGGGGAATATAAGCAATGTTGGACGTAACATGTATATATAATGTATATTAATATATATATATATGTACTTAGACGCAACGCACACCATTTGCCCCACAGCTTACAGGGTGTGGGGTGGGGTGGGTTGGGGATGTTAACGTTCCTTCAACTGCGCTCCTTAGGCCTTGCACAAGATGTCTACAAATGTTGATGCTACGCTCACATGGGGTGGGGTGGGGTGCGGTGGGGGTGTTAACGTTCCTTGAACCGCGATTTTTTAGAAGATGTTTTGATGCTAAGCCACGCGTTCCTTCGACCTTGCACAAGATGTTGATGCTACAGATGTTGATGCTACGCTCACATGGGGTGGGGTGGGGTGACCTGGGGGTGCGTGTGAGTCACCACGTCCCACATTGCATGCTGCTGCTGCTGCTGCTGATGATGATGATGATGATGGTGATGGTGATGGTGATGGTGATGGTGATGGTGATGGTGATGGTGATGGTGATGATGATGGTGATGATGATGATGATGGTGATGGTGATGGTGATGATGATGATGATGGTGATGGTGATCATGATGATGATGATGATGGTGGAGTATGGTTGCGACCAGAAGGTTTTAAACTAAAGTTTTAAACGTTTGTTTGCAGACTAAAAAGGTCAGTGTCGAAACCTTGCCTGGACATCCGTGGCGGGAGAGGGGGGGGGTGGCAGAAACAAACTAACTAATGGAAAAAAATGTTTGTTTTGGAGGAGGAAAACAAACGTTTTCGACGGATGGTGAAACTATAGTTTCGGGCCTTCAAAACAAAGGTTTTCGACGGGAAAAGTTAGTTTCCGGGGGGTGAAACAAACCTTTTCCAGGAGGGGGTCGGCGAGGGTTGAGAAACAAAAGTTTCAAAACTAGAGTTTTAAGTTTCCGAAACAAACTTTTCCAGACCAAGGTGAGAGAGTTAGTTTGTTTGCAACCACGGCCACACGCTTGGCAACTATTTTCGCCGTGCGAACTGGTTCGGTTAGCCTCGGCGGGCGTATTCTACAACTAGCTGCCGGTTGGCATAACTACTGTTATGCCATTCATTGACCGCACGCTGCGCGGCAGCTGGAGCAGCATAGCGAATGATAGCAGCGGCGTGCTGCGGTTTGTAGCGAACCTTGGTAGCAAAGAAACAGCAACAAGGAACAGCAGCCAACAACAACCCAACAATAACCAACAGCAACTAACAACAACCAACCAGAACAAGAACAAGAACAGGAACAAGAACAAGAAGGACAAGAACAAGAACAAGAACAAGAACAACAAGCAACCGCAACGAGAACAAGAATTAGAAGCGAAGACAGCAGCAACAGTTCAAGAGCACAATCTTAGAATGTCGAAACAAGACGCCAGTTGGGAACAAAAGAAGCAGAATATGATGCGACAGACACGAAGCCCTTTCACACGGAACTGTTTTGGAGATGGAATTGGTTTGCTAGCATGGAAACCAAAAGGAACTATCGTTATATGAAGATCACGCCGGCTGAGATGATGTGGAACAATGTGGATCGCATCGAACAGAAGGAAACAGGGGTGTAGTATATTGAAGTAATTATTAGACGTTGCTGCAAAAAGGCATCCACATGCACAATGGCTCCCAAAACAGCGAAGTCAGCGCGCAGCTGTTCTGCTGTGATGTCTGCGGGAAGGTTCGCCACGAACACCACACGACGACCTGGCGCACAAGAACGGAAAAAGAAATTCGGCACCAAAGAAGAAAAGTATAGACGGAAGAAATATAATGTCAAATACTGTGCCGGGCCTGGGGAGCGGCTGCGAGGCGCGTCAGCATGCAGATCAGGTTGTCCCGGATGGTGACGGTGGCCTGCCACAGCTACAATATGAGGATATGGATATATTGTTTCGGACACGATGTGCCTTCATTTGTTATCATCCCATGGCCAGGGGTCGCTACCGGCGCAGCAGCTGGAGAACAAAGAGCATGCAAAGCGTCCATGTTGAGCAGTCGGTGATGTTGCGGTCCTGCAAAAGAAAGGAATCAGCAGAAGCAGACGTTTGTTTGAAAAGAAAACAGTACAGGCAAGCACACCGAGCACACCCGAGGCGCCGACCAATCCAAGGCGATGCTGCGTCGTAAGTTGCCAGAGTGTCGGCGCCGAGTTGGACGTAGCCGTCCAGACGAACGGATTGCACTGTTTTGGTAACAACCTGGCAAGCTGGTGGGTAACAAAATGCGAAAAGCCTAGTATACAGATTTAAAGTGACAAAGAGGTGGAATTGAAGAAGTGGGCCGTGCAAAGAAACTGTTAAAAAGGGAGAAAAAGGTCAATGGACTACGAAGCACCTCGGAAGCGTTCGCTGCCGAGTACAACACCGTTTTGCCGAGCAAGTCACCATAGCCAGCAGACATGGGGAGCACTGACAGACAGGGGGCGAGGAAACACGTAGAAAAAGGCTGCGGAGCTGGAGCCAGAACAATTTTATTTGCGGCGTAGGTACAACCGATGGCTGGTGGAAACACAACAAAGCTGGAAACACAACAAAGCTGTCGACTGAGTAACGAGACTTGCTGTAGCTAGAGGATAAATACTGTCAACCGAAACAGAGTTGAAACTTGAATCTGCGACGCGCTGATGCTGAAAGTTTTACCGGTGTCTGACTTCGAGATGTCGTATGTCGAAACACGTCCTCTTGTGTGGAAACATCAGGAAGGCGGCACCGTAGGTGGAGGCAGTGGCGGGGCAATGCCGAGAGCGACCGGAGGAAGCTGGAGAAGCGACTCAGCGCGTTGACGTTTGGGAGGCAGCTCTTGTGCAGGAATTTCCGGAACAGTCCAAGGGGCTTCACGCGGAGGATTGTCTGCGAGCATCAGTCGAAGTTCACGAAGCAAGGACCTGGCGGCAGCAACTTTGGAATCAGAGTGCGTCATAGCATGGTTTGGCACGTTGGCACTAGCAAGCTCTTTGGCGACGGATTGGCCGCTTGGCCATTGCACATAGATAGGAGGTTGGGGTGCTGCGGCGTTCGCTAGCAAAATGCAAGCATCGTTGGTGCTGAATGCCGTGGACGTGGGTGTGGCAGCCGCATTGAGGTGAGCGGACAACGGAAACTTGCACACCTTGGTGATCTTGGGGCCACGAGTATTTTCTGTAACCGCGATTGCCTGGAAGATAATCAAGGCTGACAAGGCCGAATTCTGCATTTTGGCAATGCGACGCACCATCTCTTCAGGCAGCTGGCGCCACATTTGATGAATTTCCTTCAAAGGAATCACCGTTTTTTTTTGAAGCTAGAAGCCCAGAAATTGCTGTCACAAAGGCAGCTGAATCTGTAGTTGCTGTGGTTGCGACAGAGTCGCTAGCAACCAAAGCCACATCGGGAAAACTAACCCCAAAGGCATCCACAGGGGCCAGGGGCGCGCTTGGAACAGAAGCAGGAGCAGGAGCAATCGTCGGCATGGGTTGTAGGTGGTTGGCTTGCGCCGGAGCAGCCACATACTTTTGGCCAGACAATGTTTGAAAGTGCGGCCGTTGGTTGTCGAGAAAGTCCAACACAGAGGCTGCAACCTTCAGGTCGCCTGCCGCGATGGCGTTGTGTACATCCGGGACAGCTTCTTGCGCAGCACGCGCAGCTGCCCGGTGAAAGAATTGTTCCAGGAAAGCATGTGGCAATGCATACCGCAAGACTTTGGTCTTCTTCTTCGAAAGGAAACTGGCACGGCTTCGGTCTCCGGTGGTATTTGCAAGAAGTTGTTGCTCCACTAAGATCGTCATACCACTTTTCAAATTCAGATGCATCGGCCAAAGGAACACGAACAAAGCCAGTGAACTTTTCCAGCAGCGGTTTCACCGCATCCGAGTGGAAGTGTTGCCACATGGCTGCGAAGCCTGAGTTAAACCCGTCGACGCAAACATGCGAACGGCAAACAGTGCGGGAATCTGAGTGCAGACGAGGTGCAAGCTGCGGCAGACCCATAGACGGAGTCTTTGTCGAGATCTGCTGGGAAGTCAGCGAGATGGTTGACCTGTGGAGGAAGCACGAAAGTGTCGAGGCGACTGTCTACACCAAGTCCGTCACCGTGATAGAAACATTTGTGCTTGTCTTCCAAATGACCAGCCATGTAGATCACCAGCAACGGCTTCTCCAAGGTGAACTCTTTGTTGTAGTCTTGGACGTCGTGGCTGTAGTCGTCACGATCCCAAAGCTTGCACAATGTGGTAGCAGGAAATGCACCAGAAACGTTGCTTGCAGAGCTCATGAACTTTTTGCACTCGTGCAGCACAACGAAACCGCGCCCTTCATTCGCGCAGACATGGAATGGCACCAAGCGACGGCGGAGCCGTCGTCGCAGATCGTCTTTACTGTTGGGGCTACGGGCTTGGCTGGCATTCCATCTGCGCCGCCTTGCTGTTTCCATTTCTGGAGGTTGGCTTTGTAGAGGGCATTGTAATGTTCTTGGAGTTGAGCACGGCGAACTTTGAGAATCTTTGAGAATCTCCTTGATGAAGTTCACAACTAGACTTTTGCCGTCGCCAGACTTGCCAAGCTGGAACTTCCAAGTGACTGCGGGAACATCCAACAGCTCCGTATAGCGGGCAACCACATTGGGCAGTTCGAAGCAAGCCAAAGAATGCAGAGCCATGTAGATCGCAGCTGGAGAACTAGACAAAGCTTGGCCACGGGAAACACAAAAAGCCCACACATGAGGCGAATGTTTTTCAAGGATTTCCGATGGGAAAGGGATGGCAAGCGCAGCATCATAGCGAGCATCGACTTCACGCTCGTCCAACTGAAAAGGCACCGGTGGGGTCCGCTGGCCGCTGGGAGACTTCTGCGTGGTCGGCGCAGCGCGCAGATGCATTGACGCCGCCATAGTGGGGACGCGGAAGACCAGTGCTACGGAAACAAGTCAGGAACTCAGAGCTTTATACGGCAACGGTGAATGGTGAGAAACTGATCAATTCCGTGGGTAGCACTGGAACATGCAGACGGCATTGGTTGGGGCAGTACTGCTGCACGTACACACAAGCGAACAAAGTTCGACGGCCGTTGCTGAGACAATTGAAAGCAGAGAAACAAAGACATGCTTTTCTCGCGAAGCCGCAGAGAAGGAATTGCTGTCAAGGAGACATTGAATCTAATCTACAACAACAACCGCATTGGTATATTCGAAAATCAAGGCTGCCCGGATGTTCTTGTAGACGAATTTGACGAGGAAGAGCTGGCGATCAGGAGGCGAGCCGCCGCAGAGCCAGTGGCCAGTGGCCGTCGTGGCTTCTGCAAGGAAAGCAACCAAGGCAGGGAAGGGATTGTAGTCTTGGAAGCGCTGCACGAGCTGCACAGGATATGGGTCGCCTGCTTCGTAAGGATGGAGAGCCCAACTGGAGCAACGTAGCAGTTGCGCCAAACGGTGATCGAAAGGTAGGCGATCAAAAGTTTCCATGCGTAGAATGCCTTGAATCCTTTCGTTGATGCAGGGGCAGAAGACGCTGTGAACAAGAGCGCGTTCAAAGGATTGCACCATGTAATTGTAGCGCTGGTGGCATTGGTTGCGTACCTCTGCTACCCAGTCGCGGGCAGCGGCAAACCGTCCAGCGGCAAGGAGCTGCAAGAGAGCCTGCAGGGGTATCAGGTCCGAGGCGTGAACCACAGCAAGGACAGCCAGGAGCAAAGGCGACATGGCGAATGGGTCGCGGGAACCGCAGCGCAAGAACTGGAGACGGAGCGAGTCGCAACGTGAGTAAGGAGCTGCATGGTGGGCATTTGCGCTGAGCAATGTTGTGTGGAAAAGAGCACTAGCCCGCAATGTTAAAAGTGTGATTTCAGTCCGCGACGTACAAACAAGCCTTGTTCGTGCTAGAAAGCATGGACATGTATGCATACAGGAGCTAGATGCAAAGACACGGTACTTTGCCAGAAAGTGATCGGACACCCGAGGCGAGAAATATGGAAGCAAGGAACTGTTGACAATATGCTGCGAAGCGACAAGTTGCCTTTTGTTCAGACAATTGAGCAGAACATGAAAGGTGAAACATGGTGAAACAAAGTGTTTCCAATATGCTGCGAAGCGACAAGTTGCCTTTTGTTCAGACAATTGAGCAGAACATGAAAGGTGAAACATGGTGAAACAAAGTCAGGATCGTCGTGCTACCATTTGTGTATTGCGGAGGTGGGCAACGCGGTGCGCAAAGAGCAAGTATTCTGCACGACCCATCGCACGCATGGTATGGCGGAACTTGTTGAAGTGCACCCAATTTTCCTCAGCAATCGAAGTGTTCAGGCCGTAGAGAAACGTAACCACAAAGGGTAAAGTTGATCGTGCCAGACGATCCACCAAGTCAATGCGAGCCGAAACAAAGTGCCTGGTGGCAGCTAGGGCGGGATCGGCTGCAGGACGTGACCACGCAATGAATTCTGAGTGGCGCGGCAACCGAACTTTTTGGATTTGAATGACGCGAAAGAGCCTGCCAGAGAGAATGTCGAGTGCGTTCAAGAAACGCGCTCGCGTTCTGGAATTGGTGATCGTCAGCATCGTAGCAGTCGCATGGGCAGGGCGTTGAATTTCGAGACTGATCGGCAAAGGAGCAGCAGCAAATTCTGCTAAGGCTTGGCAAGCAACACAGCAAGAAGCTGGCGACAGAATACAGCCGCATCGAACGACCACGTCCAGATTGCCACAGCCACCCAAAGCGAGCTTGCAAGGATCGATGCCGAAGCACCTTGCCGTAGCCATCCAAGTGTGATAGAAGTCGCTTCCGACAAGCTTCCGAAGTGACAGTGACGCTCACGCGGTCGTCGGCTGTCAAGCGCGTCAAGGGGTTGTGGTGGAGGAAGCACTTCGAGCGAACATGGCCATAGAGATGGAACAAATCAATCCAGACATCGAGCGCACGAAGACGAGGATCAGGATGACGTCGCAACAATTCAGCCAAGTGGCAACCATCATCATAGCCTACGCTTTGCAAAGCTGGGTTGGCAGCTGCAAGCTCTTGCATGGCGTGGACTGCGAAACTTAAAGACTCGGCAACCACCACTTCCCGGAGGAAGCCAATCAGACCGCAGCCACAGAAAGAAGCGGCAAAGATGCCAACGCACCGGGCACGGCCACCGTGTCCTTTCTCTTTGTGCGTCGAGCAATCATGAGTTGGATACCGCCGGGCACGGGGTTGACATTGTGCACGAAGCTGCGACTCCTGTGACCTGAGCGCACAAGGGAGCCAGACGGAGAAAGACCATGGGCGGAAAAAAGACGTAACAGAAAACGTCGCGTGTCGTTATGTGCAAGTCTAGGAATGAGTGCGCCGAGCAGGTGCGGCAAGAGCGACGAACTTTCGCACCACAGATTTGTTTCAGCTGCAAGGTTGGGATTGGCAGAGGTTTCGCCGGTAAGGCTACTTCGCAGACCTGTGTTCGAAAAAGCTTCCAGCCACCATCCAGGATCATGCGATTCGCACATCCGGGTATCCCACAGACAGCTCTGTGTTGGAGGCACCAACACCGTTGAAAGGCATCTATCCATTGGGGTTGCCACAGTTCCAGCTCCGATTCAAAGGCGGCAGCATCGCACCAATATATTTGCAGCATAGCGGCGCCAGAAGCCGGTGTAGCACGGTGCCCATGGAAGTATGGCACGCCTGGGCAAAGCAGGGGTACGCAAAATGCTTGAAAGAAGAACTGCTCAAACACAACTGCGCAAAGTTAAACATGCAAGCAGAGGCGCCAGACAGCGCCAGGAAATCGATGAGAGCAAACAAGAGGTGAGCACGAGTGAAATGATAGACTGTCCAATCAGTGCTCCACTGCATAGTTTGCCAGAATGCGGCATACCCACGCATGAAGCGAAGGTAGGACAAACCATTGCTTGCCTGCAGGCTTTCGTAGTAGCGCACAAGGTCGATGCCGAAAGCAACTTCAGAAAAGCCCGTCTGCAGGCAAAGATACTGGGACGGGTCGTCGGCAAGGTCCATGCGAACCTCATTATGCAAGAGCGGACCAGGGACGACAAAGTTGTGGAAGTACAAAGTTTGGCAGCCGCTGCAGAACAGAGGCACGTGGAGGTACTCGATGGGGCCGTATACTAGTGCGTGAGCACAGTGGTTCGCCACTGCAAGTTTCCGTTGGGAAACAAGGCACGGCGATTCAACGGCAGCACATCAGCATGGGTAAGTCTCCGGAGTGTGGAAACACTGCAGTAAACACAGCGGCGACCTCCCCATTGCAAAGTACGCTCCGCCATGGCGACGGCTAGCGTCGAACGAATGAAGAGGTTGCAAGCTGGGAAGTCTCGAACGAAGATGGCCAGGTCAGAATGGAAACTACTTTTGCAGTCAGCTGTCAATCATCGGACTCGGTTCCTTCCCGCTTGAAAGACGAAGCCCAGATGATCCAAGCCCGTGTTACGGGGAAGGTCGAGACCAGAAGCAAACGGCGGAGCCGTGCATGTTGGAAAGACGTGGCGGAGCCGGAAAGGTGGTGCTTGGATGGCGGAGCCGTGTATGTTGGAAAGACGTGGCGGAGCCGGAAAGGTGGTGCTTGGCTGGTGGAGCTGTGTATGTTGGGAACAGACACTTGCGGAAGCGGAGCCGCAAAAGTTAGGCTTAGATGGCGGAGCTGTGCGGGTTGGAAAGACGTGGCGGAGCCGGAAAGGTGGTGCTTGGATGGCGGAGCCGTGTCTGTTGGGAACAGAAGGTGGAGCCGGAAAGCCGTTGGATGAGTGTGAAAAGCAAAACCAAAATCAACCAAAGAAAATACACGGACGACAAAAGGAAGCGAAGACGGTAGGCACAAACGTTTGCGGAAGCAAAACATTAGTTGCCAGAAAGAAAACAAAAGTTTGGAAACTATAGTTTTTTCCAGCGGAAACAAACGTTTTGCGGAACAGACACTTGCGGAAGCGGAGCCGCAAAAGTTAGGCTTAGATGGCGGAGCCGTGCGGGTTGGAAAGACGTGGCGGAGCCGGAAAGGTGGTGCTTGGATGGCGGAGCCGTGTCTGTTGGGAACAGAAGGCGGAGCCGGAACGCAGTTGGATGAAGTGTGAAAAGCAAAACCAAAATCAACCAAAGAAAATACACGGACGACAAAAGGAAGCGAAGACGGTAGGCACAAACGTTTGCGGAAGCAAAACATTAGTTGCCAGAAAGAAAACAAAAGTTTGGAAACTATAGTTTTTTCAGCGGAAACAAACGTTTTGCGGAAACATTTGAAACAGCACGAAAAAACAAACACAGTACCCCAATGGTGGAAAGGTTTATTTTTCCGGAAGAAACCAAAGTTTGCCTAAAGGGTTTGTTTCCAGTGACAAAACAAACTTCGCACAATATACTTTCAAACAAAGGTTTCCAACAAAACAAACAAACAAAACTACCGAAAAAAAAGGTTTGTTTTGGAGAGTTTCAAACTAGTTCGGTGGAAGTTTGTTTCAAGGTTTCGGTTTAAAAACAAAGGTTGTGGAAAAAGGTTTGTTTGCGACGAGAAAACAATTCTTTTCGATCAAAAACTTTAGTTTCCACAGGAAAAACCTTGGTTTTCAATGAGGTTTCCAGCCGTGCCAAATTGGCAGCAAACGTTAGTTTCGACTGCAGAAACAAACCTTTTCTTGTGCCGCTGAACGTTTGTTTCCTGTCATGAAACTGAGGTTTTGCAACGGGGAACGTTTGTTTTTACTGGAAAACAAACTCTTGGGTGCAACCCTACTGTGATGGTGATGGTGATGATGATGATGATGATGATGGTGATGGTGATGATGATGATGATGATGATGATGATGGTGATGGTGATGGTGATGGTGGTGAGGGTGATGATGATGATGATGGTGATGGTGATGGTGATGGTGATGATGATGGTGATGATGGTGATGATGATGATGATGATGATGATCCCGTCGAACTCTTCCAGACGCGGGGCAAATGGTGGGAGTTGATCGTATACTTACAATATGATTCATATAATTTAATAAATTAAATATATATAAATATTCACCCAACATTTCCGTAAAGAATAGGGGTTTATCTTGCACCAAGCAGTGGAAATTTCGTCCAGCTGCCTGTGATGCTGAAGATTCCGCACGATGATCCGGGTCTCGTAGTAGTACGGTGGCGTGTACTTCCTCGACCCGAGGAAGGACGCTGGGACCGTTGTGAATTTGGCATCGCCTGAAGCACCTTCTTGCAGGAAAACCTGCAGGAAAACCCACCAGTAATGTGATGTGGGTAAAACAATCCCCAGGAAGTCATCACCATCAAGAGTTGTGGTATATTTTTTTTCCCTCGGCCCATGGAAGCTCAATGCTGCGGCCAGGCATGGTTCGTTGAATTCAGTGACTGAACACTTCACCTTCCAGCAAAATCAGCTCCTATGGTGCTGCCATATGTCTTTACATCCATGGCAGTGAAATGAGAGAGCAGAGCTTCAGGTGGGTCAGCCACATTCGGGTCTACCGGCGTTTGTTCCAGGGCCCTAGCAAAGGAGATCGCCATGCTTCTGCACAACGCAGGCGGATACTCCTTGAGGACAGTAGTCCTCCAACTACCATCCTTATTCTTTCCAATTGCAGCAGTGTGTGGAATCTCAGTTCTCACCCTGCATGCATGCAAATCAAGCATCAACTGTGGAAGATTGGCTACCATCAGACAGGTGGGCTTCGGTGCGAAAGCACCTAGAAGACCCTGAGAAAATTGAATTTTCTGTACATTTGGAAGGGCCAAAATTGCACACACAATCGGAAGTTTCCAAATCGAGGCAGCCTGTGGATCACGAAGGGGTTCCGCAGGATGTTCTAGGATGGCATACCCATCGATGAGGCAAATCTCCAGAAAAATCACCAAGGCAAACCCTAGAAGGGTATTGCCTGTGACCAACTGCATGAGCTCCTTGATTCGAGCGCATGGAATGCCCCACAAGTGCTCCAGAACTCTGATCACCCTCGGCTGATGTCGGTCTTCACCATTGGGCATGCCAACTGCTCTGGCACATGACCACGTCTCGCACGGGGGACCAGCAAGAAATGCGATGACGTATCGCTGACGCACCGCACTGATCCAGAAGTCCCATGTATGAAAATTCATGGCATTGCCTTTCACTTTGTCAACGATGATGTCCATGGAGACAATGTGCAAGATATAGTCGGACTGCTTCTGTGCTAGCTGGTCCAAATAAAATTGCACATCTCCGACCCGTCTACGGCCTGAGAACGCGTGCAACATCACACGATGCTTGCCGAAAACGCGAGGCACACTTTCAGGTCGTTGAGATTCGATGTGCCATGTCACTTCAAGACATTCTTGCTCCAATGCATCAAGTGTCGGACGGCAATCCCTGTCCTCATGCACCTGCAAAAAATCCCAGCGCGCAGACCTGCTCAGGGTCTCGATGACATTCTTGACCTCATAGAAGTCAAAGCCAAGCAGGACCGTGTCCTCTTCGGCAAGGGTCTCCATGAAGAAGTGCAGTGTTCGCTTCAACATAGTCCATGAAATAGCATGTGTCTCCAAACGCGCACAAACACCATCGCGAAATGCCAAGACGGAGTCCGCGTCACATAACGTATCAACCAAGAACTGATGCCAGTCACCATCAATGTCCAGCTCCTGCCGGGCACGGACTGGGCACTCAGAAGGTCCATGCCCCTGCAATGGCGGAAGCATGCGGTCATGTTCTACTGCTCTTTGACGATCACATTGCGAGCCGGTGCCAGGAGTCGGTGTGCAGCGATGATTCCGACTCTGCAGCAAGGTCCGGCAGGCCCTGTTGTAGTACAAATGCGCCTTGAGCTTCTCCATGGTGTGGAAGTGCTTAAGACACGCCCCACATGTTGGATGATCATAGAGGAAGCGCAACTTGGAGACTACACCATGGGTTTTGCACATGTGGGCCGCTTCTCCCGCGGCATTCCTGCATGTCTTTTTGCATAGCATGCAGCCAAAGACTTCAGCCTCAGAGGTCTCAGCAGCAGCATGAGGCATCTCTTCACGTTGCACCAATGACCATAGACGGGGGAGCACTCGTCGATGGAGCTCACAAACTTGCTGTGCCCTTTGTCTTTGCAAGACTGAGTGCAGACACGCACGTCTGATGAGTCGCTTCCAGTACCCCGGAGAGGTCTGGATGATGTACAACCACTGCTCATAGTGCTCGCGAGGGTCAGGCAATGAAGAGGCATGTTGGAGCTGCTGCCACATCCATATCATGTCATTTTCCAACAACTGAATCCAATCTGCGTCTCTCGCCAAGAGCGCCCAAAGGTCGGGCAAACCAGAATGTATCAGTGTGGCAAAATACCTCAATCGCGCTCTCCGGAGCAAATCACATGGACTGGGCAATTGAACCATCGCCAGAATGTCATCGTCTGTATAATGGGTGTCGATGCGAATGCATGCAAGTCTTTTGAACAGGTTCATGATGAGCGTGTTGAAGCGCTTCTCCATTCGCTTGCTGCTAAGAACCCAAGAGTCTGCCCCATATAAACATTTTGACAACACAAGCATGGTAAATAGCTCAGTACGTTTGCTCAACGGCAGCTGTTCGTTCTGAAAAAGGATCTTTCTGTGTTGATTCAGGGCTTGATGCCCAATCGCGGCTTTTTGTGTCAACTCAGTGGCTTGCTCTCCAGTATGATGAGCAATGCCGCCGAGATGACGATAGGATCGCACAATTCTGATATGATGTTGCTCATCTTCTCCCAAGACCATCAAGGTCGGTGCCGCATTGGGGCCATAGAAGTCTTTTTTGTACTGTCTGGAGTTCTTGCCCCGAAACGACAATTGAACTTCCGTCTTCCCAGCAGCTAAATTGGGAGTAAGACAATGTTCCTTGCATGTGTCAAGGAGGAAGCCTGTCACCGCTCCCATATCAGACACAAGTTGTTCTGGTGAGGCGGCTTGTACACATAGTGCAAGATCATCCATCCAATTTGGCCCAATAAATGGAAATGTGGCATCAGTGACAGCCACTCGTCCAAACAGCGGGAGGTGTTCATGAGCTTGAAGAACTTGAAGCATATGTCTTTCTCGCATGAAACTCTCAACCTTGTCCAGCACAGTGCTCCAAGCAAAGGCAAAGATCCAGTCCGCCATTGAATCTCCAGGACGCGTTCCCATCGCCGTCCGTGAAACGTCATGCTGTCCTTGTACCCAGAAGTGCGTACTGGTATGTATTGCTTGGATGGCTCTTCGATCAGAGTCCGGCATGCCTGCTTGTGTCAGCGCACAGGGTTGCGCTAGCATCGCATGAAGCCTGTGCAGTGAATCCTGGGGCAATCTCATCCGGCTCGCTACATGTGCCACCACATGGTCAGGAATCTCACCTCCCATAGGCATCTCTCGTAGCACTCGATAAAAGGCTTCAGTCAAGTCTAAATACAAAATGCCTGTTGACTGACAGTCACGTTTTGCCGCCCGGACAAAGGTTCGCAGCTGATGTTGGGCTAATTGCACCGGCACATGCTTCCTGCCTCCTGTTTGTTGCAGCTGTAGGAAACGATGAAAGAGCTGAGAATGGTGCTCTCTGATCGTCCTGTGCAAGGCTTTGCCCAGGTGATTGCTCACGAGCAAGGACCGGTACGAAGTGCACCGATCTGTGGGTCCACGGCCTTTGTATGCTGGCGTAAGACGCCCGCCCTTGAATCTCAGGTGCTCCTGTCCGTGCAAGAGCATCTTGAGCAACTGGGGATACAAATGTCTGGCGACAACCGCAGCATGATGATGACATATTTCACCTGGAAGTCCATCTGGGCCACAGGAACGTCCACGCTCGACGAAGTGCCATCTCTAAGTCGGTCAGGCTGGGAAGGTCCAGTAGCGCCTTCTGGATGCTGTCATTGCGGAAGGCCCTCAGCTCCTGAATCCACAGAGCTCTGAGCTCTTCTCTGGACATCCGCTGGCCACATTCCATGGTCTGGAAAAACATGACCCAGGCATCAGTGATGTCTTGCGGTGTCAGACAAGCCTGATCCTCAGCAGTGCGGATCATAGGTAGCGGTTTGTGCTTGAACTTCTTGGGGTTGCTGGGTCCAACAAATGCCCTCAGTTGCGTGAGAACTGCGGAGGCAGGTGTGTCCTCCCCAATGGCATCCATGGTGCATTTGAGCGCTCGGCTCTTGGCCATGACAAGCATTTTGCGAAGTTTCCAACACACACTTTTGTAGGCAGCGAGCATGTGGACTCTGTGGCAGAGCAGTGTGGTCATATACCTGCAACTGGTGTCAAAAGTGGTCTCATCTGCAGTCAATGGATCATTCCTCCAGGCATAGAAGCACCATAGTAAAGCTTGTCGATGCAGATTCCACTTGGTGGCCTGGAGCTGCTTGCGAAGGGCGATCTTCTCCGCACGAATTTTCCATGTCGCAGCATCAATGTAGGGCTTTTTAGGGCTCTCGTTGATAGGCTGTTGAGCTGATGCAAAAATGTCTCGGAGGTGACTCGTGAGGCTAGTGGCCTGCACTTCGATGTCATCATGCCATGCATGCACTGGGATGTGCTTGATGGCCTCATTGTGAGTCTCCATGGCCACATATTTGCACGGCTTGAAAGAAGTTTTACCAGTTCTGGGCTGTGTCTGCAAATTCACTTCGCTCCATTGTAGTTGCACAGCAACTACCCTGTGATCTTCATGGGTGTTCGCAAGATCCAAGTCAAGAAGCGTCTGTGAATGTGTGCAGGCACTCCACCAACATAATGGAATGGCGATGTGGTCGATGCAGTGTTCTGTCTCACCATCAAGGCCAATCCAAGTGGCATTGGTGCCAACATGGGCTCCACTTGTGGCAGGTAAGTAGAGTTCCCATGCGGCAAGGAGGTCCCTGAAGTCAGGCGTGTTGACTGATGTCTGAAAGCCATCCGTGAACACCACTATGTCATCCCTTTCTCCAGGTGCTGCATTGGCATCAAGTAAAAGTACCAGATGGCGATTGTTGACATACTGGTCCAAAAGATTTCTCGTTGTTTGCCACCAATCATGACGATCTTGAGCAACATGTCCTCCATGTGGGGCATGACCACAAAAGATCCAAAGATCAAGTTGTTCCGCCAAGCAATGCACCAAAAGTCTTTGAGGATCACAATGGACAACAATGAAGTGCTCCTTCCGGAATACACATGGTGTGTGAGCCCA